TCTTCATTTACCCTTGGGGTTTCAAAAAGAGATGTCCCAACTCGCTGTGGCACCCCTCCCAAGCATGGACCCTGCAAAAGGTGGAGCTTTGTTTAGAGTGGAAAAAATAATTTTAAATAGAAGAATTTGATGTTTTGTATGTAACTGTAAAAGCATTGCATAGCAACAAACATGCCAAGTAAACCACTGTGTTAGTTATGTTGTTCTATTTGCTTGAGTTATCTAAAATACATCTGTCTAAAGCACTGAGTGAATTATGTAAACTTGAAAAGGCAGCACACATGAGGACCAATCCACTCTAAAGGAAATCTAAATAGAACGAGTCAGATGCTCAACTAGTGTAAATTGTAATCGCTCCATTGCAGCCAATGGGATATCTTATCCCAACCAAGGATCAGTGCCAGCATCTGTTCTGTGGTTTATAAAAAATGGTCAAATACCATATACAGAATAGGTGCACTAAACCAAGTTAAGACAAGAATATTTCCTGGTAGGGAGAGGAGGTCCCAATACTTCTGAAAAGGGTTTGTATCACAGTGTAAAGAAATTGCTTTGTGCAGCTACAATCCATGCTACCTACTTTTTAACTGCAACCTCGGTGCTACCCCGGTCATGGGCTTCAAAGGCCACACAATGAATACTTCTTAACAGGGTGGCATATAGGATAGCACATTTTAGTTCTTACTAACAGGTTGAAAAATCATTACTCGTAGCAACAAAGCTGAGATGCAAGAACACAATTTCATACCAAACAGATTCTTTGGTGGTTTAAAAAAACCCAACCTAACATTTTCTTGAACACAGATTTATTTAGCTTTTGAGAATAAAGGATTAGTTTTGCTCATGATATAATCCTGACTAATGAAGAATAAACTGGAGACCTTTCCTTTTACAATGTCACCAACATACAGTGTAGTTTTTTGATCACACCCCAAATTAGCTTGAACTGCAAAGCTAATAATTGAGCCAATAGAGCCTACTCTTGGAAATGTTTTTGTTTTTCTCTGAAGATCTTAACTTTTGGCAAATTTCATAAATCCTGAATGTGTGGTTGTGAGCCTGATGCAACTATCAAATTACTAAAACATTATTTGTGATGCACCTTTTTAGACAAGTCTTAATGTTATTTAGAAATGTTTTGAAACAAAGAAAAAAAATTTTTTATCACAAGTGATGATCACAACACATGACATTGCTATCTAGTAGATATTACTGCTAATGAGGTTTAAAAATAATAGAGTTTCTTTACTACCAGTAACGGGGATCAGCTGAGAAAGAGATCTTAGGATGCAATATTATTTCAGTTAACAAATGCTGCCTCCAACTGTTTGCCGTAGTGAACAGCAGATTTCTTTAAAATCCAGTCAGAGGATAAATATTGAAGGTAGAGCTGGTAGAATTACAGGTTACTAATAAATTACTGGAGAAATATATCTTTGCATAACAAAATAACAGTCCCAACCCAAAAGGATTTACAATCTAAGTTTTTAAGCTTTGTCAGTCATTTATCCTTATTTGGGACTATTTGGTCATATGATATAGTTTCTGCCCCTCATCCTCTCTCACAAGATTGCAGGATAACAAATTAATAACAAATAGTGAATAATGAACAGCAAGTATTGCAGGGACTGGCTTTTTGTTATATGTTTGTACAGTGCCTAGCACAATGTGATCCTGATCTATGATTGGAAACCTTTGGTGTTACTATAATAGTTGCATGAGAATATATATAACATTTATATGAACAAAGGGTATGAACACTTGACTCAAACTGAATGCTTTCTATCACTTTTTTCAGTATTTGATCCTCAAAGTGTTAAACTTCTATTCCCATGCAAAAACTAAAGTTTTGTGACTGGCAGCCACATTTATATTGAGACTTGTTCAGTTTTAATATACAGTATTTTATTATCTGAAACCTCCCCTACTGGCAGATGGGGGGGAGGGGGGAGAGAGTATCTTGCCCTATCTTGAAGGCAGTGGTCTGGGATGATCTCATAGGTTTCTCTTCCATTTTTAGGATGGGATTTTCAAAAGCAAGTGAGGGACTGATTTTCTTAGGTGCTTTTGAAAATCCCAATCTTATACCCATTTGTTACACTTTCTTTGGTATTTGAAGTGCAAGCTCTTCAGGGCAGGGACTGTCTGTAATTCCATGTTTGTACAGTGCCTAGCACAACATGGTCCCACTCTTGCTTGGTCCTTCAGCACTACCATAATAAACAAGATTAGTAATATTTTGTATCTGGATCCTTGATGTCATGTGGAAAACATAAGGAACTCATAGCGCATTGATGGCTATTCATTATTCTTCAGTGGTACACCTCTACCCCAATATAATGCGACCTGATATAACACAAATTCGGATATAACGTGGTAAAGCAGCGCTCCGGGGGATCAAAGCAAGTTCGATATAACGCGATTTCACCTATAATGTGGCAAGATTTTTTGGCTCCCAAGGACAGTGTTATATCGGGGTAGAGGTGTACTTATTAAATAGGAGTTATGAAAGGACTGCATGAGGAACAGCACTTACGTTAAGCCTATGAAATTATCTGAAAAGGTGCTTGGTAAAAAGCACACTTTCTTAGGTCAAGCTCTGCCTCACATTTGTTCAACAACAGCATGAATGTAAGGTCAAGGGAATTTCATAGCTCTAAAGACCAGGGAATCAGAACACTGGTCTACGAATAATCACTCTTCGATGCATTTTGTGCAATCCCAGGAATTTGAAAAATAACCCAACATTGTAGCAAAATACAGAGCTGTATGAAGAGGATAGTAGATATCATGCATCTAATTCTACCCAATTTTCAAACTCACAGCACAGCTTTTTACTCCTGACTAAAACAAATCTTTTCACATTTAAGCTTGAGAACATATTTTGTCAGCTACTGTGTTCTGAGCAACTTTGAAAATATGGCAACTTTAGTGGTGTACAGGAAAGCTGTACTGTCTTGAAAGTCTAGCCCCAGAAGTCATTTAGTTACAAAGTCAGACAACAGAGTCAGGAAAAAAAAAATCCAGTGTGTTAATATATGCATACACCTTCTGAAGGCCTGCTGTTGTTTCTTCACCTTACTAAATGGTCAGAGCTGAAGTTCCTTCTATTACCTCAAAGCCCAGCACACAAATTCCAAAGAAGTGTGGCTAGAGGATGGGCGCAGTGTAGGTAGTCTTGGCAAAGAGCTTGTTAGCATGTTGTTCTTCAAAGCCCAAATGGCCTGAAGGACAGGCACCTGTGTTTTCAGGAAACTAGACTAAGAAAAAGAAAACACTTTCTCTTTGCCCTACTGTTCTCATTCTTAGCCTTGCAAAAGCCATGAGAAACCATGAGCCACATATGTAGCCAAGAGACCCAACAGAGTAAGGAATAAGTGAATGGCTGATTCAGAACTAACTGCATTTTCCAAGTGAGATCCAAGAATGTCTGTCTGGTGAAGATAGGAGCAGAGGTCCTACTAGATGCTCCAGAGGTTGGAAGAATGAAGGGGGAGGGCTGTAGTTTGCCACATTCAGTACTGCAAAGTAGTATGCATGCACCCCAATGGCCAAAGTTCTCTCGGCCAAGCTGTGCAATGTGTAGGTACAACCTGTGTGTATCATTGTAGATAGTACGCCAACGATGATCACAGAGTCTCTAAAATCTTTGTTATGCAAGTAATAACTGTTTTACATTTAAAAATGAAATGAAGGGACTAAGCATAGTGGCTTGAACCAGTGTAATGTGGAGGTTTCCCACTGCCTGACCATAGTGGCCAGTTAGATCAGTGATCACAATTCTAACCTACATCATTCACTCCAGTTCTAGACCTGTCTTTTTACACCCATGCCACTAGTTTTCATTTCCTTCTTTGGAACATTCCTAATTTCTATGTCCTTTTGACTATGTGGTAATGAAAAGTGAATGTTTAAATGCAAAATTATAAATACACGCAAGAAACATACTGCTACAGGTACTGTTGAGGAAGAGGTATATTTATATGTAGCAGGACTGCCAAAGCTTGTGTCTCTTCCCTGGACAAACAGAATATATAAAATGTACAGGAACTAAAATGATAATTGATGCACTAGTTCTCCAACTGGGATTTTCAATGAAGGATTAATAACTCCTAAAAAATGCAATTCAGATCTTTAATGGTGTTAGCCAGATCCCCTTTGATTGAATTGTGAAAGAAACATTACTTTCTGGATGCACAGAATAATGACACACACTAGTGACAAAGTTACCAGACAGCCAATGAAGATCTTCATACTTCTATACAACCGAGCTAATGGTTTTAGAATACAAAAGAAAAGGACATTTCTGGAGTGATCTTCAGACTAAACAAGTCAATCCATTATTGTAATAAGCCTCTTACAGCACGAATATACAAATACTAAAAAATGGTGACCTGACCAAGAGGCATTTATCTGTTTTACATCCTTTAGGAAAGACACATGGATTGATGTTAATCGGTAGATGGCTTGTTTATTGAATTCATGCAGGCCCCTTTCTTTTTGGGGGGAAGAGATTTATTTTCATAATTTTTGAAAAACAAAGATAAAAATGAGGTATGCAACATAAGGACATATCACTTTTAGGATCAAGATGAACATTTATATTTTCTAATTTTCAATGTACAAAACCAAATTTCTACCCAAACTATGAATCATTAAAGATTGGTACTAGCAGATAAAATGAAAAATTAAACTAATCAAAAAAGGTACCATGACAACAGTGAGTGTAAAAAATACTCAATACTTATTGCTGAGAACTCAAAAATATGTTAGTATTTTCGCACGTAAACAGTTGCAAATTCTAGACAACAAACTTTTTTTTTTTTTTTTTTTAAATCACACACCAAGGTTTGCCCATTTCTGTGCTAATATCAGCAAACAAGGATTCAGGAAATGCTGTTAACTCAAAATGTTGTAACATGGTTTTGTTGTTGTTGGGGGGAGGAGGGGATATTTGTTTAAGCGCATATGAGAGAGAATGGGTCGCATGTGGCCGTGGAAAGGGCCAAATATTAGCTTCACCACACTGATAGCTTTTTTTCAGTTCAATATTTTTCCCAATACATTTATTTCAGTTGTTTTCCTGGTCATTTTCAGGTACACTATAAAAAATAATAATAATAATAAAAAAAAATCAAGCTTTAAAGCACATAATACACTTAAAATAATAGATACATTTCAAATCATTTTGAGGTAAGAGCTCAGAGTCTCATTGTGCACTTGACAAATGTTCCATTTTCAGGAATGCATTTATCCAACTCCAATCAGCAACACTGTCGCTACGTAAATGCCAAATTCTGCTTTCAAAGGCATTTTGATGGAAGCTGCACTCAAAGAAAGGAGTAGAAATATTCTAAGAATTTTGGCCACATTAAGTTTTGAGGCATTAAAAAATAATAATTTTGAGATGTAACAGAAACCAAGTGTTTTCAAGACAGCTTCACTTGTGTCGCTAGCTGCATTAATGTTAGCTTTCTCTCGCTGAAAGTCCAAATTTTTATCAAAGCTTTGTGCGTAAGCTCCATGGATTCATCCCATTTGTTTTTCTCTGGGCTTGTGTAGGTCACCAAGTTCTCAGTATACTGCAAGATTGACTTTAAAAACCTACAAGAAATAAAAAAAATATGAAAAAGTCATTCTTAAAAAGACTTTCTAAAAGAAAGACAGACCAGATCTTGATGATGCCCAACTTGGGGCTGCTACTTTTTCCTGATTTCCAAGTCTCCCAACTATCACATGATCATTGCTACATCACTTGTCCTTTACCTACGGCAAGGGTGGGTGGAGAGAAAAAGACAG